TTCCCCTCTTTGTCGTTTTCTTGTTTGCCTAAAAAGGTAATTAACCGTTATCTATGCTTCTGTAATTGCTTATGGCAATGCTTTATTCATCTTCATTTTGATTTGCTTGTAAAATTTTGCTGTGAGCGCATGTAAGCAGCTACGCTTATTAATTTTTAAAATGCCTTGTTAAATGTTGTTATTTTAAGCTAATCAATTGATTTATTGGCAAATCGGTTCCGAAATTGGTAGACATGTTTTCTGTATCACGGAAAACAATTTACAATGAACTGAATCGTGCGGAAGACGGGGTAGACTTGATACAAAAAGTGGAAGTGGCCAAAAGCGGGAAATTGATGAACGATCGGATCACATTATCATGCGAAAAGCCAACTGAAATCCGCAAATAACGGTAAGAACTCTTACTTAGGAGCTTCAGGAAGATTGTGACCTTGATGTTTCACACGAAACTATAAGCCAAGCTATTCTGCGGAACAAGTACTGATCAACAGTTGCTGAAAAAAGCAGCCAACAAAACCGACAAGCCCTCAAATCTGGTATACACAAGATTCTATTAGAATACGAACTACCAAAGTTAGTCTGATCTATTAAAAAACATCTCTAGCATGTTGCACAACTTAAGGGGCCCAGACCAATTATTTATATTAGTAAGAAGATATTATAATAGGACAAAAATTGAAAATAAAAATAGGTTAAGTTCATTGTGAAACGAGTTTCTTGACACTGTCAAATATGTCATCAAGACGACTTCATAAAGGTGAGAGCAGGAAAACAAATACAACAATTACCGTGTATTTTGTTTTTGTTTTCAGTGTAACAGTTGTTTAACAACTCAGTAAAGATTAGCTTAAAAATCGAAGTAGGCTAATTTAAATGATATTAACAGTAAAATTTTATTCCATCGGGTGTTAGGGAATTCTTGAGGAATATGTTTTCGGAAGCAATAGCAAAGAACGTATATTAATATACTTCCTTTTTAATGGACATAAGGCACAGTCACATTACACGAAATGTACATAGGAGAAAGTTCTATAATTGCTATGGTCATAAGAGGTTTTTAGACTTACCGCACACCTTTAAGTTCTTGTAACATTGTGCAGAAAGTTGTACATTATATAATTTATTATAATAGTTAATTAAGCACTAATCCAGATAGATGTAGATCCTTATTTTTGTGGAACTTGAACGGATTACTTCGACCCAAACAGGAGTGTATTGTTGAAAACAAACGCCCTCGATCAGGCCATACCGAGCTTTACAGACGGCTCAAAGCTCGATTAAAAAGAGGACTCTCAATAATGAGGAATATGAGTTACGATAGATTCCGATAAACAAGCTGCCATCAGATCTCTACAGTGTAACAGCATCACATCTAAAGTGGCTATAAAATGTAGACGCAATCGGAAAAATTCTCGAAATGCAAAACTGCCATTGTTTGGGTGCCCGGACACTCCAAGCAATTGCACGGTAGACGAACTAGTGAGAGAAGGATTCCTTCTATCCAAAATAAAGCATGTGCAAGATGCGGGTTTAACTTTGTCATTGCAAAAAATATGCTAAGGCTTGCCTTTGTCCAAAATGCAAACACTAGACGGCAGAATGAGATCATGTGTAACGTGACCAGACAGCTATGGCTTCATGGAAAATAAACTTTCACTATAATGACTTTTGCCACAGAAGAAGATTTTCCAAATAGATCGGCGTATCAGCGACATCAAGGTGAAGGCTTTTTTGTAATTATTTTTCAAATATATCTGTATAAATCATAATTTATATGACATAAAATATAAAAGAAAATATTTAATATCCACTAACAAAAAAGGCTAGGTTTTTTTTGGTGCACTATCTTGGAGAGGAAGTAGGTTTTTCTTATTTTGTTACAGATTGGATTACTTGTAGAAATACGTCGCCTCCCCCGATCCACGTTTTCCAGAATTCAGGAGAAATTATGGACTCTGTTAATTCCGACACGAACATGAGCCAGCGCCAACGAAAACAAGCGATCTCGTTGTTCATATAATGTACACGAAATGGTTCGATCAATTGGGGCATATTGCCCCAAATGCGCTGGTCACTGACCGCATCAATTCAACTCAAATCAAAATTTGAAAATTTCTAGCTACACAATTATAAATTCCAAATAAAAATAACAAACAATGAAACTGTAAACAAATATACAAAACATAAACAAATATATATATTACCTTTACAATTAAGCAAATTAATTAAATGAAAAAAGTTGGATTCACTGCCCTAGTAACTCCACCTTGTTAAATTCGCCTTGAATCGAATCAATAATTCAAAACAAACGTCGGAAAAGGAGAAAAAGAAAAAATGAAATTGTTTTCGTTTGCTTAAAAATCAAAGTTTGCTTATTTAAATGGCATTAAAAGTAGAGTAGTTTTCTTTTATGGAGTGTTTTCTTACCAGCTCTTGCTTTGGATGGGAAGTTTTAAAGAAATACCATTAGACTTACTCATCGGTCGATCTAAAGATATTGCTAGATTTGCTGTACTTCTTCATTTTTTCTAACTAACGTTGTGTTGGTAGTTGCAGTATACATACAACATACCTACAGGGCCGCCGAGAGAAAATCGGGGCCCGGGGATAATTCAAATGCGGGCCCCCAACACCTTAATTTCATGATCTAACAAATATGTTTATTTGTACTTACACTGCAAATCACCAAGTTGGGGATTTAGATAGAATAGTAGAATAATAATAATATTATATTGGCTCGGAGTTATCGCCTTTCCTCTTTTCTCAATTGCATTACTAAGTGAGAGTATTTTCCAATTTACAAAAGTGAAGTTATTTTAGACAGACAATTAACTTCATTTTCTTCCACAAGTTATAGCTCTATGTAAGACTTTTCACAGATTATAGCCTGAAAAATTGATCTTTCTCATACAAAACCAAATCTTACAGCAATGACTGTAAGATAAGCACATGCGTCACATACATCATATGTGAAGTAATTATCCCCCCTTCCCTCTCGTTGGGTCTGCATACCTATGTAATTGATTATAATTATTATTTATAGTTAGTATTGGAAGAACGTATTATTTTAACCATTATATTATATAAACGTAGTTTCCAGCCTATTGAGCACTACGACTTCTTTCAATGGATAAAAGCCTCATAGCGGTATAACAACGGTCCTATTGACCTAAGTGCTTTGATTAGTAACACTATCAACTCAGCTCAGCAACGGTCCATATTTTTATTAAAAAAACAATTTTTACAGCCTTACACTGAAACGAATTAATTAAATGAAAAATATTTTTCAGAATAATAAATATTAATATTAAAGAATTAAGACTATCTGCCCTACCTACCTAGTGCATAAGTTTAAGAGTCATATGTTATTTACTAACAACTTTGTAATATACTTATTTGTTATAAACCTGAAGAAAAATAATAATCAATTTTGGAATTAATGCTTTTGTTTTAATTTTTGCTTAATATGAATTCTATGAAAGTTTTAATCAATCGTGTTCAAATGCTTTCCCATTCAAATCACAATCCAGTGGATTTTTATACCAGCACTAACGTTTCCGTCTTCGTTCGAAAATAATACTTTTATTGTATGAAGGGGTTACGGTAGTAGAAAATTTGTCATGGAGGTCGCCATACCTTTTTTTTTTACAAAAGGCAGCTAATTAAAAAAGCATTGTGGTCCCAATGACACATGTTCTTCTACCGTCCCAGTAAATAGTTTATATATACATATAATTGGCACTTTGTAACCGCTGAAGCGATTTTCGGTCGAGCTCCTCCTCCAATTTGTAGTTTTGCGTCTTGAAGTTGTTTCCAACAAATGGAGGTACCTAGAGTTATATTGTACTAAGCCGCCTCCGGATAGCTGATGGTTTTTTTAGGAAAAGCCTTACTTTATATCAGATATACACTCGGTGGGGGGTTGAAATTCACTGCCATTGAGCGACCGGAATAAGAAGAATTAATTCAATTTTTTATTTAAATTAATTCTCTATAACTTTTGGATGATGATCGTATTGCCTTCCGAATGCCAGCACGCAATGCTTACCACTCGGCTAATCCCTTTCTATTTTGTCCTTGTAAAGAAAAGTATTAATTTAATAAGTTTTAATAAAAAAAATTGTTTAAAGTATAAATAAAACCTAAATTAAAAATCGTTTCAAAGCGCCAATTATATATATATATATACCAATTTAATAATATTAGGCCCTTGAAAGGTGCTGGGTGTTGTACAAGCCCGTTTTGAACATATTTATTTCTCCTGAAGTCTTAATAAACAATGTAAATAATATTAGTACACAAAGATAAAATAAATTGTGACTTGTGACCAGTACACATTTGTTAGAGTAAGCGAAGTCGTTAGTGCTGCACCGGTGAAACCAAACGAAATGTCCCGTGCTAGGCTAACGTTTTCCGAAACCTCCCTCAAAACCAACAAAAAATTTATCTGTTCGACGCTATTAATATGCTATACGAGCTAGCTACAAATCGAAATAATAATTTGCCTTTCTTTTAAATTAGTTCCGAACTGATTTTGAAAATTTCCCAAGATGTAGTTCCAGATATTCCAAAAACTGACCTAACGTGACTCAACATATTTTAAATTGAATACTGTTCACGGAATGGTGTTTTTAATTGGACAAAAGTAGTGTGAAGGAAGTAGCACTGAAGTAACGTTCTGATATTGCTGAAATATTGAGATATTTGGAAAATAATTTTGTATTTAGCTTCGAAAATATCCAAACCTGACCTGATACAAATCTTTTTTGATCATTTTACGAAATGGATCTAACCAGATGCTAAGATGTGGAATTTCGCAAATCTTATTATTTAATTTATTTTCAAATTGATCTCCGAAATTCCAAAAGCTTTTGACTAGTAATTACTGAAGTTCAATCAATGAATCCGATATTAATTGTTTATTTTTGTAAAATAAAGTACTACAACTTATTTAAAGCACAGAAACCAATTGAGAACTAAAATCTGAACAAGCACAAAATTCATACATTTCCTTCTCCAATCTCTGCGACGGCTGCCATCTTTTCCTGCATCAACTCCTTACCGCTGAAGTCAATCTTACTCCTGGACACCTCATCCATTTTGATACCCCTGACAATACTCCACCTACCGCGTTGTATCTCCACGGGAAAAGTGAAGAAAATCTCTTTCGGTGTACCATAGCTACCGTCCGACACCACCGTCATTGGCACCATTATACCCTGCGGTGTGCCCGTTATCCAATCTCTCATTTGATCACACACTGCCTTCGCTGCCGACCAACCGGATGATAAACCACGCGCAGTGATTATCTCGTTGCCTCGTTTAACAATGGATTCGGACAATTGCGTTCGGAAGTAGATCATTTCCTCGCCCAGTATTTCGCTAACGCGCTGTGACTTGTTATTAATCACCACGCTAGCCACCGAACAATCTGGGTGCATAGAATCCGAGTGATTACCCCAAATAATCATGTTCCGTATATTGGCTGCAGAAACCTTCAGTTTGCTTGCTATTTGGCCTACAGCACGATTATAATCCAGCCGAGCATTAGCTGTGAAATTCTCACGTGGTATTGAGGGCGCATACTCTGCACAGACATAACACATGGTATTCGAGGGCTCGGTGAGTACGACTACCTTGCAGTCTTTGCGTGCGAGGGCGTCAAGGCAAAGACCTTGGTCTTTGAATATTCTTGAATTGCTTGCGATGAGATCGTAACGCTTCATATCCATTTGGCGGCGACGTTCTCCGCCCAATAGGAATGCGTATGATATATCTTGAAAAGCGACAACTGGATCACTTGTGGCTATGACGTCACGTAATAGTGGACATGCAGAATCAATTAACTCCATTCGAAGCCCTTCCATTGCACCTGTCTTTTCGGGGAGATCTAGTAGATTTAAAATAAGCGGTTGCTTCGGCCCGAATGCCATGCCGCAGGCTATGAGACCAGCCAATGAGTATGCCACTTGGCCGGCAGCGCCAGTGATAAGTACGCGTATGATCTGTTCCTCTTTAGACATTATGAATTATTGACGACCGATATAGTTTTTTTCTGTTCTCAAACGATATGCGTATGTATGTATATACATACATATATATATTTTGTTTACAAAATTTTTTATTGATGCAACTTCTCGGTTTGCTACAAAAAATTGTCTCCGAGAAGTAAAATAATACGAATATTGTTTAAAAGAGTATCTCGTTCAACCCAGATTCTGATTTACATATGGCGGACGAAGTCAAAATCACTTTCCAACCAGGAATCGTATATATTTTTCTTCACTGCCAATGCACAGAGGACCATAATAATTAATTAGTGGTAGACCTTACCCTTTCACACAATATAATTGATATAACCTTATATGCATAGTTTACGAGGCTAATCCCCTGGTAGTTGGCGCAAACTGTGAGATCCACTTTTTTACGGAATGGGCAGATCACACTTAGCAGCCAATCGTCAGGTGTGCTTTCATCCGATCATATTATACAAAGAAGTTGACGCTTGTATCATGTTAGCTCTTCACCGCCATATTTAAATAGCTCAGCCGGTAAGACGTCGGCTTCAGGTGCATTGCTGTCCTTTAAGCGGGCTATTGTTATTCGACCCTCGACATAGTCATGTACAGCAACGTTTCATCATTTCCGGGTGTTGCACTTTCATTGCCATTCAGCAGGCTGTAAAAGTGCTCTGTTCATACTCCAGGCATGCTCTGGTCATCGGTCAGCAGATTTCCACATTGATTTCTTTATCGAAACCTTTTATTAGTCGTGGCATCATTTCATAAAATTTCCGAGCGTTACCCTAGTTTCTCAAGCTTTTCATATCCTCGCATAGTCCGCAAATGTGTGTTGTTTCCCTTTTCACCTAAGAGTAGAAAACTGTTGATCTGTTTGTTGCAATTGCAGCTTTTCGAAGTCGAACTTATCTTGTATTTGCTGACAATAAGTTAGTAATTCGAGTCGATGTTAAGTCCTTGGAACTTACGCAGATTGGAAACACTGGAGGTATGTATTCCGTAAGTCGCAAAATGATTGATGTATTCTCCTGTGCGAAAATTTGGTACTACAGACAACCATATCTCGGATGCCGGAGAAGTCGGTCAGCCTCAAGCAGCTTGGAGATATTTCATCATGGAGGCCGCATTTCCCGACTGTTGTGCCAAAAATGTCTTTCGTTTAGCGAGTATACCAACAAATTGGATAACGAGACCTTCCCAATTAAGACTCCAGTTATACACGCACATGCCCTTTAATCGTGATCCTTAATTTGTTTGCAGCCGGAGGGTTTCTCAATGAAATATATGTTTAATGAGGTGGGTCTCAAACCCTACGCACTGCTGCAGGGGACTCATCTTCTTACTTTAACTCTCTTTCAAAAGAATATTTGTTGACTACTGAAAAGATGCTTGGCCTAAGAGCGGAAGTCATGAGCTGCCTTAACCATATGCCAATAATCGTTTCTGGCCACTCTAAGGTGGATGGTGGTGAAAAACTTTTCTCACTTGCATGAACTTCCACACATTGTCCCTTCTTCCATATACATTTTTTTAATTTCAGTTTGTTTTTAAATTAATTTAAATACTTTTAATTACTTAATTTTCAGCCTTTAAATATCCTTCATGCAAGGTATGGATAGTAGCATCAATGCAATTGTTACGACTACAATAAGAGCAACATTGATATATAGTTTAAAGCTGCCTCTTCCTGCCACATTTTTGCTGCTTAACTTTGCACGAAAATCGAAAGAACTAAGAGCGAATAAGCATACAACAATAACAAACACACTTTGAAATACAAGTGAAAAGTATTTATTTACGAGCAAAATTGCAACTATATTTCAATCCAACTGACTACCACTTGCTGTTGTGGCTTCAGCTGCGGCCGGTCGGCCGTGCGGTGTGGTGTGTCCCCTTCATGGATTCAAGTGTTGTTCCGTTCGTATTTTCGGTTTTCGGTGATGTGTAACTTTCTGCTCAACTACGCGCTTGTTTGCTTGTGCACTTTTCCGCCCCCGTTATATGCTAAGCGAGATTTTACGCGTTTTTACTGTTTACTATTTTTCCAGTGTTGCAACAGCATTCCTTACTTATTTCTTTCATAGTTGTTGGTATTGTTGAATTTGGCTTATGCTTGTTTTTGTTTTGCCTTTTCCGCATTTACATTTGGCAATTCGTGCAAAGTACTTTTTGTTTGTTAAATTGTGTGTAACTGCTTTGCTGCATAACTCACATACATACATACATACATACATACATACGAGGATTTCATTGTCGGCATCTTGGGTAGCAGATTTTTTATTGCTTTTAATTTTTTATATTGCTTGCACAAAATTTTGTTGTTTTGTAAACTGTTTTTGCCTTTTCTTATTTATTTACTCATTTATATGCTTGTATGATACATTTTTTCCCAGAGCGAGTGAAATCCTCAACTTGGCTCTTAGAAGATATAAGGATTATGTACTAGTACCACCTCCATGTGGGTACTTTTAGATTAATACAAAAAAGTATTGATAGCAAAGTATACCAGAAGGCTTCTCTAACTATTGAAAACAGGTAAAGGAATGGGATTTTTTAAAATTGATTAAAATAATATTATATATATACTATATATAAATAAGCGCATCGATTTTTTTTTATTTACTGAACCTAAATATATATCTTTTTGAACTTATTTCCAATCAATAGTGGGGGTTCTTTGTTCTTTACTTTTTCGAAAATACGGCTGGAGCAAAAGTTATGGTGAATGGATTTATACTAAGCCTCCTCTTTTATTTCATGTCCGCATTTAGAAAAGTTAACTAAATTTTTTATTTAAATTAATTTTCTATAAGTTTTGGATATTGGTCGTCCCATGGCCATTATGGCAGTACGCAACGCTAACCACTCGGCTACCGCGTACTTATATATCAAGTTTTTTCCGTCAGTTAGGGTTGTCGTATTGAATACGACATTCATTGGCATGATACTTCCGGTAAGACAACGCTACGAGTCGCACAAGTAACGAAACCATCGATCTTTGAAAGGAAAAGTTTCCGGACGGTGATATCCAACAAGAGGTGCTCACAATTGGAAACTGAGTTCTTGTGATTTAACATCTTGGAACTTCTTCCTTTGAGGCCACGAGCGTCGATTCCGAAATTTCATAAAAAGGATACGGTCCTGTAAGCGTAGTAGAGGCGGCCATCTGTTCATTTATTTCAAAAAATGTAATTTTTCCTTGGGTAGTTTTTCAGTTTGAACATTAGAAAAATGCGTAAAGGTTCTAACCGCCTTGCGATTTTTTGCAACTGGATGATATCAATCTTCCATTGGAGAGCAATGGGGAATATTTGTGAGTCATTCGATATTTTTTAGGAAGATTAGATTTCGCATTTTTTAAGCTATGGTACCACATTTACTTCATTTCAAAAAAAAGAAGTGTCAGTTCTCGATGATCCTTAAAAATTAGTTAGCACCCCGAATAAACGTTAGTGCAATCAATGAAATTCGCAAGTTTTGACACGAGTTACTGAATTCCCAACCCGCAAAATTCAGATCGTTAAATCAAACTATTTTTCTTTATATTAATTTTATTTTAAATTTATTTTATTTGTAGTTATTTATTGGAACATTTATTAATGCTATATTTATTATTTAATTTAAAATTATAATAATATCAACAATAAAACTTTGAAGGTCGCGTGCCTTTTGCGTATAGCTCGGTAGTAATTACATTTTTGGAGCATATCTCTGCAGGGAAAAAACACTAGTTTTAAACTAAAATGCAAATGGCTCCTCTTCCATAATTTTTCCATATTGGCAACTGGTATTTTCAACATGCCATCCTCTACAAACTCTCATTTGCACGACTGTGGATTATAACATTGGCTACGGCCGGAGCTAAAATGAAACATTTTCACAACACAAAAAAAAAAAAAACAAATTAAAACAAAAATTTTTTAACCTTTTTTTTTGTTTATAAATTTTGTAAATAACAATGAATACTTTTGGTTATAATACCGTTAGTTCATCTTGAAAAGTTCAATAGGTTTTAAATGAGAGTGTGATCCAGTGGAAAAAACCTGGTTACGAGAAAAAGGCAATAAAAGTACACGAGCGGCCGAATTTATTTCTGGGTCTTGCGATCCTTCGGTGCTGATTTCATATTATTTCTGAGAAACTTGGAAGTTTTTTAGAGGAACCAAATAGCAAACAACAATTTCTGCGTATAACAACGGAGCATAAAATGAACACTTACGAATGGCGTTGCGCTGAAAATTACTATTATGAGGTTGTCAAATATCTCCCTTCCGCTTTTTTGTCTTTTGAATTTCGCGGCTATGTATAAAGCGCTACAGAGCTCGTATGTGGCAACTATACATAATTTGAAAGGTCTTGACATAACCTACAAAACAAAGCTATGCATGATTAGTTTGGATATTGCCTTCAACAGTTATAGACGTGTAAACATGGAGTTCACTAACGCCGAAATTCGCGCTATTTTAAAGTTTTCCTTCGTTAAATGCAAATCCGCTAGAGAAACGTTCCGTGAGATTAATGGTGTTTTGGGGGATCGTACTCTATCACTTCGAACCGCGGAGAAATGGTTTCGACGATTCAGAGCCGGTGAAAACGACACCATGGATAAGCCAGCCGGCGGAAGACCTGTGACGACAAATACCGATCAAATCATGGAATACATCGAGTTAGACCGGCATAGAGCATCTCGTGACATTGCCCAGAAGATGGGAGTTAGTCACGAAACCATTTTGAACCATTTGCAGAAGGCTGGATACAAAAAAAGTTTGATGCTTGGATGCCGCATAATTTGACGCAAAAAATCCTTCTGGACCGAATCAACGCCTGCGAAATGCTGCTGAAACGGAACGAACTCGACCCATTCTTGAAGCGAATGGTGACTGGCGACGAAAAATGGATCACATAGGACAATATTAAGCGAAAACGGTCGTGGTTGAAGGCCGGTGAATCGTCCCAAACAGTGGACACTTAATTCTACCATCTACTGCGAACAACTGGACCGC